CTGTACAAATGTTCATACCGACAAGCATATGGGTGTGAGTGTGTGTGTGTGTGTGAGAAGCTTGCATTATTGTGTATCTGTGTATGTGTTCGCCTGTCCATGTCAGTGCATGCTGTTCCCCCTGTCGCCCCTTGCTGTGTGTGTGTGTCATTATCCAGCGGGGGCTGCTCTAATGGAAGCTGTGATTAGCAATGCTGTTAATTAGACCACAGAGCCAACCGCGCAGACCTCTGCCACAGAAACACTGCAGATAAAACGTGACGCTGAGCGACACAATGCTTGAATGCTGCTTTCTGGATGCTTCAGTGAAACGTGAAGCGATACGATGTTTTCGCTATGAATTATGAAACACAAGGTCCAGTCATGGTAAAACAGCAGACAGACCACACATGTAGCACATGTTGTAGCACGTCATGCACATAAAGAACAAAGTGAAACAGTAATGCTGCTAATTAGATTACAGAGTTTTGACTTTAACTACAGTTTCAACCACAGTCTTTTCCACAGACGTCAGAGCACACATACTAGTGTGACATAATTGTGTAATTATACATGATTCATATTATTCTTGTCCATGAAATATGGCTTCATAAGAAAAATAGACCCCTGATACATTTTGACTTGTTATAGCTGGAAAAGCACTGTCGTAATCACCGGTAGTAACATTAGTAATAGCAATGTCTCCACTCTCCGGTAAGCCATGTCAGTGAACCAGCAGTAACAACACAATCTTGTCCTGGAACAAGAACACCTGAATAAAACAGAGCCGTCCTTGATGTTATTAGTTACACTACAATTCTGTGAGGTGCTCTGATGTCATTCAAGAGTGGCCACTGTGGTCAAGTTTTCATCCAAATTTAGTGCAAATTTTAATAGAATTTCTGGAAAATGGAAATCACTGCATGTTTCTATCCACTTCATGTGAGTGTTAGGAATTGGGAGCATCGAGATAAACTGTGGTGGCGCTAATTCTTCAGTCGGTTTGCCATTAAACCATTGCAGGAGAGTGTGCAACGAGATGATGAAATTAAAAAAGCGCCATTCAAATGGAGGAAAAAAAAGTATATGCATTTGTAATATTTAGATTTTTTTAAAATCAAATTTCTGACCTTTCCACTTTTTTCCGCATTACAAACTCACAAAACAAAGTAAACCTCCATTCAATGTGTGTACAATCTGACACCACAAACTATCGGCTACCCTCGTATGGACAAAGCAGAGGTCTCTAGAGCAAACGTCATCATTATTCACCTGTACTGTGTGTGAGTGTGTGTCAGGTCTAAAGTCTTTGTGCTCTGCTGATGGGTAAGTGGGCTGTATCCGAGCATATCTGAACGCTCAAGGTGCACCTGGGATTCATCCTGGAACCTGCTGGAATGTTTTGGAAATCCATCAGCAGTGGGAAAAGGACCCCATACTGTATCTGTGTGTGTGTGTGTGTGTGGGTGTGTGTGTGTGTGTGTGTGTGTGTGTGTGTCTGTGTGTTAGAGTAGAGAGAGAGAGAGAGAGAGAGAGAGAGCGAGAAATAGCCCCCAGTGGCGTTCTGTCAACCCCCCTCGCTCCGACATCTGGTCCTGTCTCATTTACCGCAGGAGACTGTCTGTGTGATGGCTTTTTAATGCCACTGACACAGCCACATACACACTCACAAACATGCACACATGTATGCACCCAAACATATACATACAGCACATGTGAGAACATCCTTATGTGCACACACACACAAGCTCACACTGCTATTAACATGCATACAACATTGATCCAGTATGACAGTGTATGTGATCAATAGTGCATGCACAAACTGATTTCTCAGGTAACTCTCCAGTGAAGTAGTGTTAGTAAACAAATCAGGGTTTCTGAATGAAGATGTTTGGTTTAGAAGTCCCATATGCACACACTCACACACATCTGTCATTGATCCTCCTGTGTCCTGAGTTTTTTTTTCCATCTGGGCTTTCCATGCTGGTAGGGTAAGGAGGTGGTCCTGAGGCTGTCCATCATCATATAATGTGTTTATGTGTGCTGTGTATTTGTATATGTGCACTTGGAATGCCATTACCACCCAAAAAAATACAGTGATGCAGATAAACACTCAAGCACACACACATATTCTTTTTCTCACCTTCGTCCCTCTTCCTCTTGCCAACGTCAGCAGCTGAGCTGATTCCCAGAATGCCACTGATGGAGTACGAGGAGCCGGCTGAGTCGCTGGTCACTGCTGATACTTGTGTGGCAGCCACGGACGTTGCTGCAGACAGACCACATGACAAGATAAACAGTCTGAAGCATTTATTGAAAAATCATAAGACATGCAAGGGAGAAGAATGATAATACATGTTCTTTTTGTTGTGAATAATGTGCAAGTTTTCTTTTATCAGTGGCACTTTGAGAAAAACTCAAAGAGATCCGTTTGAATGTCTTGACACTAGTGGTGATTAAACTCTTTTTTAATTTGAATAAAAAATCTCTGCTGCCATTATCTGTTCCACCTAACAGTATATTTATCTCAATAAAAAAAATATTATTTTGAAGACTAACCTGCTCACCTAATCAATATTAAAGTGAGTATAATCTTCCAAATTAAACCCGACTGTAACACATAATGTTGCAGCCCAGTAAACTGGGTCAGCTTTCGTTTAGGGTGGGTTATGTTGGATTCTTTATAAAAAAGGTAGAAATACACTTATGGCTACAACGACTGTAAAGCACCTTGTCTGTGGCTCATATACAATAGAAAAGGTCACCTTGCAGGAGCCTGATGTTACTGTTGTACTGCATGACAGAGACTAGACACTGAACCTTATAGCTTATATCCTTATAATTCAAATACCTCAGCTAAATTTCTACAGATATGATAACATCCTGTGACTTAAAACACCAGTGGGAACTCTAGGAAAAGATGGATTGAATGTTTCTGCATGTGTAATGTTGATCATATGCTTCTATGTACAACGAAGGCTGATTAATAAATGAAAAAAAAAGTGTGAATTTTCTTGATGTATTGTTCTTTTTACTTAAAGATCAACACTCACACATTCAGTTATTTACAGTAATCACACCTTCACAGTCGAAAGATACAAAACAAAAAACTATGATCGAAAACCTATTTTTCCCTCCTTAAACTCAGCTTGAAACTTTACTTAACCATACAAATCAAATGGAAGCTTTAAAAAAAAAAAAAAAAGCCACAAAGGACATAAGTCTGTCTGTGTTTTGCTCCTCATGTCTCTCCCTCTAATCTTCCCCCTGGAGGAGACAAGTTCCTCGCTGGGCGACACAGCGACATACTTGTCACCGCTTCAGTGACACACACACACACACACACACACACACACACACACACACACACACACACACACACACATTGTGCAACCTCCTGACACACACACTGAAACATACAGTCACTCTTTCCTTGGTCCCTTATCTGTGCCCCTGAAAGCGGACGTGGGGTTGAGTGACAGTATGGTATCCCAGGAGGCACAGAAAGGTGTGGAGACAGACATCCTAATCCCCTCTCCCAGCAGACCCCCCAAACACAGAAAGACAAGAGCGAAAAGGGAATAAAAAAAACGATAAACCAGACGATCAAGGTCCCTTCCAGCCGTTACTCCTTCGCTAACGACAAGGAGAGTATAATGAATGCATATCCCTCCTTTTCCCATCACTTGATTTAGCACTTCAATTATCTGATTTTCCTTTCTCTTTCTTTTCACTCTTTTTTTTATCAGAACGTAACGCTTTTATTCTGCAAATCCAAATGTTCAATTTTCCGCCTGGGAGTGGGACCCATTTATCTGTGTAATCTGTAAGCGTGCAATGTGTGTGTGAGCGTGTATGTGTGTGTGTGTGTGTGTGTGTGTGTGTGTGTGTGTGTGTATCTAGGTGTGTATGCATGTGGGTGTATGTGAGTGTGTATGTGCGCTAAATGTGTGTAAAAGGCAGGAGTCAGGGAGCAGTGTGTGTGAAATTAATTTAGATTAATAGACAATGTGCGATTATGAAGATATGAGAGACCCCGAAACACAATCCACTGCAGGGCAAAGTGAGGAAGAGATAGAGAGGGGGAGAGATAGGCTCTCATATTTATTTGTACTATGAGATATTCATCGAATAAAGGGAAATAATATTTCAGTCATAGCTGTAATGGATATATTGCTTTAGTATGTAACATGATTAAAAACTATGAATGAACAGCCAAACCGTGTAAATGTGAAGGAGGAAAAGTGTTCATTTCATTTGGTTAAACACAAACTTTTTTAGGAATAGGTACAATCTCAATTTTGGCACAGAGCCCCCCCACCCTAGGAGACAGTAGAGAAGTCCAGTTATAATCCAGGGCCTTTATCATTGCAGTTGATTGTGTGATTTAGCTGTCCCAAACAAATGTACAATTAATCAAATTACCCAAAACCAACTAACAAACAATTAATATAGGCCTTTGTGGCCACCTTGCCTGATATAACCCACCCTCAATCATGTTTTACTTTATCAGACATTCCAATGCTTATAATATGTGTTTTCTAAGCATTAAGTTGTTTAAGATCCCTGTTTGGGAGAGAGCTTCAAACAAAGGTTACCACAGAAAGATGGTTCCTGGATCCATTATTGTAATAATGTAACATCTTCTGGCATCAATGAAGTTTCCCCGCTCGCATGTTGTTTTTTTTTTTTTTTTGTGATATAAGGTTTAGGGTGATACACTTTGATGTTGTGAGCTCCTAAGACATTCTTTATGTTCATCATTGTGGTTTGGAATACAGAACCTCCTACTGCGGTTTGGAATACAGAACCTCCTACTGCGGTTTGGAATACAGAACCTCCTACTGCGGTTTGGAATACAGAACCTCCTACTGCGGTTTGGAATACAGAACCTCCTACTGGCTACGTTGTTGCACTTCATTATGTTACAGAACACATCTGTGCTTGGTTGCAACAATGTGTCCATGTTGTCATCCTTCACTCACACAAAGAAAACACACAAAAAGAACTTTAAGAGGTGATTAATCCCAACCCGTTTACCAAACACACTAACTTAATCTAACAAAATCAAAATGTTCTTATTAAGTAGAAAAATCAACAAAAACGGAACCTACATTCAATTAACTAACTTTCATTTTGGAGTCTTCATTTTGGGACATCTTGATTAAAACATTCAAGCCAAGAACTTTTGTTGGCACACAGCATTTCACACCGTGTTGTCTCTCTCTATGTCATGGTCCAGAATTTCAATACGTTTCGTTGTTCCACATACGGCACACAGGCTCCACTCCTGAGAGACTCGCACGAAAACGACTCTGCTGTAAAATTCGCTTTGACAGTTGGAAACAGGATTTTATAGCAGCGACCTACCTAAGTTGTGAGCCGACACTGAGCCTGTTTGGCCAGGCGGCTGCTGAACCTTTGTCCGAATGATCCTGCAGGGGGAGAGAGGAGATATTAATGTGTGTGAAGTGGTCGTTTGTGTATATGTGTGTGTGTTGTGTGTGCGTGTGTGTGTGTGTGTGTGTGTGTGAGAGAGAGAGAGAGAGAGAGAGAGAGAGAGAGAGAGAGAGAGAGAGGATGAGTGACAGAGAGAACATGACCATCGTGGGAGCAAAATTGTGAGTGTGTGTGTATGTGCGTGTGTGTGTGTGTTTGTGTGTGAGTGTGTGAAGTGGCTGAGGCAGGCTGACATGGCAGAGGGGCCTCACACTTCCTGCTTGGCTGCTCATGCAAACCCTTTTCTTCCTCTTTCTTTTCCTTTCCTCCCCTTTTCCTCTCCTCTCCTGTGCTCTCATTTCCTTTCCTTCCTCCTGCTTTCTTTCCTTTCCTTTTGTGTCTGTGTCTTTCCTTACTCTCACACACCTTCCTTCCCTTTTGTCTGCCTCTTTTGCTCACTCCTTCTCTCTCTTATTTCACTGTCCCTCCCTTTCTCTGCCTCTATGCTCAGGGGAAAGGGTTGTCATTGTACCATCGTGTTGAACCACTGAGCTGCAGCCACTTCATACATATGGAGACTGGGGCCTCTTTGCCATTCTTTTTTCCACTCCCCGACACACACACACACACACACACACACACACACACACACACACACACACACACACACACACACACACACACACACACACACACACACACACACACAAAACACACAATATTATATTGCTCAGCGCTCTACCTTCACTCAATACCTGTTGCTATAAGTTGCTATTGAAACAAACACACAGATTAGACTGTAATACCTGTTGATGGAGCTGACACTCGGGACGCTGTCGTTGTCACACACTCTCTCTGCCAGGAGCCTGTCCCGGATCTCCCAGGCAAACATGGTGGGGTTTTGGCGTTTGTAATCTGCGATCTTGTCGACCACTTTGGGAGTAGCAACCTTTGGTTTGGATCCCCCGATTACCCCGGGGCGGATACTGCCCGTTTCATAGTACCTGCCAATAAAAGCAGAGAAGATGCTGCCGTTGGTCATAAGGGGCAACACAAGGAAGTTGCAGTATTTCGAGAAGAAGGGTTTAATAAAAGCTGATGAAAGGTTAAATCTGTACATTCAAACTTCAGTTATCTGTCTCATATATATATATATATATATGAGACAGATAACTGAAGTTATACATTTATCACTGTGTGACCTGATCAATTGATCTGGCATTGGTGCAGAAAAGGGGGGAAAAGGGGAGAGCTTTCTCCCCACAGCTTCCACAATGGGGGCCCATGGAGGCCAGGAATAATCATGTTACATAGGAGGGAGGAAGCATGCACATGTGTTGGTATCAGTAAAGCAGATTAGGGGGCATTCACTGGACCTTTTAAGGGGCCCAGTCATTTCTGTTGGTGGGCCTAATTAGTGCTCTTATTTTGACATTATTTATCAATGCAGATGATCGTGCAAATCCCAGATCAAATACCACCTAAATAAGAATCTGAGCAAGTTCATATGGTTTTTAAAGGAAAAGGCTGTATGGTGCTGCTCTATACTTTTCTTATCGTCAGCCAATTGAATACTTCTTTTAAAATGGGTCACAACATATTTTGAAGTAATTTCCCACTGGATCTGTAGTTTAAATTACCCAAACAGAAAGAAAACAGTACATTTGTTTGGTGCACTTGTGACTCTACTACAACAGCAGGATGGTGTTAGTAGGATTCCATCTGTGCTGAAGGAAAATGTTCTTAAATTCTCTAAATTAGGCACCTGACACGCCTATATGTCGTTCTATTATCTCTCTATCTTTAACTGGAACAGGTCAAATCACATGACAGCATGATTTGCGGGACAACTTTAGTGACAGCATCAAAACTCAGAATTAATCATACTTTATTTCTGAACCTAGTAGTTACATAGTGGACTCTGTTCTCTTGTTTTTACTGGCCCTTTAGTTCACCCCTCCTTGCAGTGATTTGGACATTGTTCCACTCAGTCTCAACTTTATCCCCTGCTGGCTCTCCAGTGGAGGAATGACCTTCCACCACTGCGGTCAGGACTTCGCCCTGGTTCCCTTCAAAAAACAATTCACGTCCCTCTGGCCTGTCCCTTGCCCTCCACCTCTATTGGCACCTGACTTTGATAAAAAAAAAAAAAGTATACTCTGGTGTCTGTTTTTGTAAAGAATAGCAGGTTGTCTTAAAACAATACTCATTTGCCCATAAATATGAAAAGAGTAATGGTGGGCTGTTAATGTTCTTGCTGTCCATGCTGATAACGTGAAGTGAAGTGATCGATGGGGTGCAAAATCCACAGTTCTTATTCTGTGCAGAATTGAATTCTAAAATTCAGCTGAAGCTAATATGCGTCTGATTTAGTCAAATCAAGTGGTTATGAACTTGTGGTTCTGCACTTCAAAGACACTTGATTTGTTTAACTCAGGCTGCTGAATCCTTGTATTAGCTTCTGTTGATTTTTGCAGAGAACAAGAACTGTAGGTTTTATCGCCCACCTCAAAGGAAATGCTTCATGGCCTGATATAGACCATACACCTGGAAATAATTATTATCACTTAACGAACCAACCGATAGATCAAACTATTAATATCGTAGCAGTAAGTAAATGATCCAGTCCTATCAGTAGGTTAAGCCTCCCCGGACCTGCATGTGAAACTGACCTGCGATTGGCTGATTCAATTCAGGTAAAATAAAAACCTCCCTACCAGTTGTTGGTAATGCCATTAGAATATACTGAAGACAACAGCGTTGACTGAACGTAACGCCAAAAATATTTATGACTTCTGACTAGTGCTGGTTGTTGTTTTCTTTGGTAATTTCACGTTATGACACAGGGGCAAGAAGAGGGTGGCACTGACACACACACACACACACACACACACACACACACACACACACACACACACACACACACACACACACACTAATGCAAACACACAAACTCTCAGATTCAGGCATTTCGTGTCCACCATGGCTATTTCATGAATGTATTTGCATGCAGAAGGGGCATGGGGGCAGGGGGTGGGAGGACAGCAAATGTGCTACACAGCTTGCAGAAAAAGGGGGGATGCTGTGTGTGGATGCAAGCTGTCAGTCAGTCTTAAACCTGCTGCTCTCTCTCTCTCTCTCTCTCTCTCTCTCTCTCTCTCTCTCTCTCTCTCTCTCCACACCGCTGTACGGTAGAGTAATCCTTTCTGTGAAGATGTGTGTTCCTGTAAATGTGCGTTTCCTTGTCTTTCTTTTTTTGTGTGTGTGTGTTTGTGCGTGCGTGTGCGTGTGTGTGTGTGTGTGTGTGTGTGTGTGTGTGTGTGTGTGTGTGTGTGTTGCTGCACATTTTGACTATTCGCAGCTGGAGTATAAACACAGCTAAAAGGAAAAACAATCTATTTCCAAATGGAAAACTATTTAAATTATTCACAGCTGAATCATTGGTGAATAAACGAGCATGGTTATTGATATCCGAGCAATGATGAGCCAATACACACACACACACGCAGAGTGGTAGAGTTGGTGTTTTTGTTCTTCTGGCACCAGAGAGACAGAGAGGAGAGGATAAAACAACCCTCCCTCCCTCCTTCCATCCCTCGATCCCCCCCCCCCACTGTAACGCTTCAGTGAGTTGAACGGCCAGGACAGGGGAGAGAGAGAGATATAGAGAGAGGAAGACAGAAAGAGAGAGAGGGAGAAAGAGAGGCAAGGGAGAACAATGAGCAACACATTTTTTTGATATAGCTGAGGGTCGCTATAGCTAATCCTTCCCCTCCGTCCCCTCAAATGGTCTCCCTGTCTCTCTTTGGCTTTTTCTTTTTCCTGCACTCTTCTTCTTTAACACGCCTTTTCCCCTTTTGATTGTGTTCCTTGTTCTTGTCTTTCTCCCATTCTCCATCTCCTTCTGTCTTTTTTTTTTTTTTTGGGGTGGTGCAGAAATATGGTGCCACTTTCATTTTGATGCTAATTCCAAAAAGTGATGAATCTTTTCCCTTTTGTCCCCCTTTCTTCTCTGGGGGACGGAACGAGCAGGGATTTACTCTTGAATTTAGCTTTGAAAAAAGGCAGAGAGAGAGAGAGAGAGAGAGAGAGAGACAGACAGACAGAAAGAGAGAGAGAAAGGGGGGTGAGGAGAGACACAGAAATATTGAGAGGGGTCGGAGAAGAAATATAGGATATGGAAAGGGGAGGGGAAGGTGAAAAGGCAAAAAAAAGGAAAAAAAGAACAGAGAAAGAGAAACAAGACATAGAGAAATAAGAGGCAAGCAAAAATGAAGGCAGACAGTGAAACATGCAGCTTGTTGATGCTGAGGGGAATAGAAGAAATGGCAGAATGGACACTAAATGAGTCAGTGTGACCTTACAGGAGCTTCAGTTTGACACATGCTTACCCAACACTGAACCAGCTGTTTGTGTGTTCATTTCTCCTGATAACATAAAATATTTGTGTTTGAAGTGTATAAAAGATGGTGTCAAACCAGGAAGCCGACATTTTTATACACCTTAGCCAACTGTGCCACGAAACAGAACCTCACAGTCTGCACTGTTGTGTGTGTTTAAAAAAGGGTGTAAAATATTTTCAGGGCTCGTCACCATGTGGTCGTAGGTGTTAATGTGCCTTTTTACCTGCCCAGTATCTTGCTGACACATCCATGGCTGACTCGTAGCTGGCGTGAGATGTCGCAGGGCCGAACCCCTTGGTGGGCAAGTTCTACTATTCGCTGTCGCACTACATCTGGGAGGGGCCTGCCGTTTACAAACACACCTCCAAGCTGGTTCACCCCGCCATGTCCTACAACAGAGAGAAATGAATCGAAAGAAGGTCAGGGATGAGTGAGAGAGAGGAATATTATGGCTGCTGAGCTCAAACCATTGAGAAATTTAATTAGGTTACAGGCAATGAAATGAAACAAAGATAAACTTATTCAAATGTGAGTGACCAAATGAGGCAATGATGAGACAAGAATTTTAGAAGACTAAATGAGTGTGAATTTAGCTGCATGTGCAACAAATAAAAACTTCTGATTATACTCCATCATTAGTGCCCAGAGCCTGGTCTTTCCTCTAATTACATTTTCAGAAAGACACACTTGGACAGGCGCAAGAATATTGCACTGGAGCTAACTCGCTTTTCCAAGACGATTGCCATGATTCTTCTGTCAAACTCAGATCATCTTGTGTTTGATTGAATATTTTAAACAGACTGAGAAGTTTTCAGGGAGGATTTGATTTGCACAAATCCACATTTACACACAAGAGCTGCTCAGTGCAACTGCAGTCTACCATTGAAGCAGAAGAGTTCAAATGCCTTGTTAAAAGCTGTTCATGTGGGCCCAGTTAGCTCAGTTGGTAGAGCAGCCTGGGTTCGAATCCGACCTGTGGCCCTTTGCTGCATGTCATCCCCTCTCTCTCTGCCCACCTTTCCTGTCTCTCTTCGGCTGTCACTATCCAATAAAAAAAAATAGCTTAAAAAAAAAAAAAAAAAAACGGCTGTTCAGACACTTATCGGTAATGTTTACATACATTCATCAGAACTCTTGACATTAGAGTCTGGATTAAAGCATCCACATCTGATCTCTGCTCACACTCATGGATTTCTCTTGTCCGGTGAAGGACAAAAACTAAACCGACAACTGCTCACCAAGGCTTCAACAAAAACCCTAGTTGTGTTTGTGCCATTAACAGCTTGTTTCTATGGGTCAACACTTGAAAAACACTGAAAATATTTACTGTATGCAGTACTGTATTTACTGGAGTAGCTTTGTTTGTGTGTGTATATATGATTATTGTTTTTGAGGTTTGATTAATAAAGCAATGCCACACTTTTTGGCTCGAGTCAATTTACTATCTCAAATTCATCTGATTTCTCTGGCTCAGCATAATAGTACCAATTGGACAATTCCAAAGTGCAAACTTTGCCCATTTTCACCCGGGGCAGAGTAAGCTAAGATCTTAAGCAAATGAAGGGATTTCAATTAATTATTGACCAAGGCCTTGCCCTGGCCCCTTACTGAAAGATACCATTAATATTCCCCCTGAGGGAGGAAAGTATAAGAGGAAATGAATGAAATAAGACTGGTATATATGAGAACAGACTAGGGTAGAACAGAAGACAAGCAAAACCTTTACATAATTCTGGTTGTGGGGTCGTTATAAACTGTTTTAATCCTTTGCCCTTCTGCTACTGTAACCATAAGACACAGAATATCATAACTGCCTGGTAATTAATCTGACAAACCTCACTTTTTGAGAATATAAGTTTAAAATCGGTATGAATTGGAGCAAAGTGTACATATATATACAATATAGTTTGCATATAAGTCAGAAAATAATGGAAAATATCCCAAGGTGACATCTTTAAATTACCTATTTGTCCGACCAACAGCCCAGAAAGCAAAGATATTGAGTTTACTATCGTGGAAGACTAATAATCACATTGAAGAAGCTGAAACTAGAGAATTATTGCTTGAAAATTACCAAAAAATTTATTGATTATCAAACTTATTGCCCAGTACCTATCTGTCAGCCGACAAATGGATTAAAAAACTGTGTGAGCTCTAATACCAATCTTGGAGCCTAATGCAGCATGCACTGGAGACTTACACATTCACACCACTGCAAACTCATCCCAGTCACTACATAGAAAGGCTCCAACTAGCCAGGCCAGGTCTTCTTGCCATGAGAGTGAACAATGTTGACCACTGCTAACCACAGTCCTCAGTACTAGTCAGCAGTGGTGAGATACAGTATGTAAGAGTGAGAAACTCTCTCTCCCGCTCCCCAATACTGTGTGTATATACTGTATATATCTCACCAAAGGCAGAGTATAAATCAACCAGATTTTTTTCTACCCCATAATCCACTGGCTTTTGTATTACCATAGTGATTACGTCTTTAGGGGAAACACACACACACACACACACACACACACACACACACACACACACACACACACACACACACACACACACTATACACACTCTTACACACACTAATCCTAGCTGTGGGGGTAATAGATTTTAAACACATTACCCCAGCAGGGATACCCCCTTAAACACAAAGCTGTCCCCTGAACCTGTCCCCCTGTCCTCTTCTTTCCTCCATCAGCATAAAATAAAGAAACACACACACACAGCCTCCTTCAGCTCAAATATAAATAGATCCACACATGGAGGATAAATACAGCAGTGAAGTCTAGAGAGTCTCATTCTGTGGAATCAAACAAAGCTATTTCCAAACGGCTGATGTGGATGGTCACTCTCTTCCTTACTACATTATTCTTTGAGATAAAAGCAGCCTCATTATGCAGATGCCTTCTGCAGACAGCACAATTTGAAAAGCAATCGCTTCTTTACTAAAGACAGCAGTATATAGACAGTCATATTTATGCAAGCTTCATGAAAGCTGGGCTCAGCCGAGGCTCAAAGTCTAAATGGCGTGAAATGTAACAACCAGCATGAACTTTAAAGACAATGTAATCACATCAGCTTGATCAAAAGCATTTGTCATTTATTAAAGGACAAATTCACTAAATTATATGTCAGGTCCTGGGAAAATAACCCTGATTATGTCATCAGTTATCTCAGCTTGGGGTTGAACACAAATGACAAAAACCTACTTTACAAACTTTGGGAGTGGAGTTTGAAAAATTTTGCAGGTTTAGAGGGTCTAATGCAGAAACATTTGCATTATGTCCGATGTTTTTGGAGCTTGACCTATACTGGGGACAAAAAGTCAGGATCTTTATTGCTTTTTTAAAATCTAAGCCTTAACCCCATATCTATGGATATACAATACTAAATCTCACCCTTTTAATAAATTAACTTAATTATTCAATGGAAATAAAAAATAAAAAAATAGCTTAATAACTGGCTTTGCATCCAGAAAGCTATTTTGTACTGTTGTTTGACATGATATTTAATAGATAATCTATAAGAATGGTGAACTCGCTATCCCACAACATATGAAGATTTGTTGGCTTCCCTGGTGGTTTTTGTAAGAAGCTGTGCTCCTGGGTCAGTGCAGGGTGGAGAGTCAAGTCCAGACAATGTTATTTACATAGACGACCCAAAATCACAGTTCTCAAATTTGCGTCAAAGGGCTTTACAATTTGTACAGTCCTTAGATCTCTATTCACTGGAGATACTGGGAACCACTGCGACTACTGAACCATGATCTTCATGGTCAGTGCCTTAAGCCTGGCCACCTGCAGGGCCCGAACCCTTCTAGATTTTTGGCTGTTCGTCTCTTCCTTTAATGAAAAAATAAATTGTAATCCACTGATTTACTCTGACTGATTCCTGTGACTTTACAGGAAATCATCACAGTAACATCCCCCTAGATAGTGAGACACAGAGTAAACTCAAATACACACACACACACACACACACACACACACACACACACACACACACACACACACACACACACACATTTCCAGATATTCCTCAAAGCAAAAGCGACCCTGCTGACCTACATGGACATTTTCAAGTCCCTCACGCTTCTCTCTCGCTCTCTGTGAATGTTCTGTATAGTTGTGTGGAGGCATAATTCCTTCCTCCTCTCTTTATTATTATGTCCTGAAACCTTTTGCTGAATAAAAGCAGTTTTTGCAGTGTCGTTTATAGAAGCCTACTGTGCGACGTCCTCCTCACCACAGGTATCTGCAGAGAAAACTCTCTCCCCCACCCTCTCCCTCTCTCCCTCTTTCTCAGATAAGAGTAAATGAAATGGTTCCTTTCACCCTTCCTATCTGGGCCAGGGCATGAAATACGCCTTGCTTTGTAAAGAGATGGAGAGGAATGACTTGTGACCTACAAAAACCTCCAGATAACTATTTATTCACTTATCTGTGTATTTACTGTTGGCATTAAAACGTTCAGACTCTCACCATTCTTGGGGTAGGTTCTGGGGATTATGTGTTTAAAATTTATTTTCCAAGCCTATAAATACTGATAGGCACAAACGCAATAACTTACACATTCTATAAAGGCATTTGTTTATCGGCCACTGTAGCGTAATTCTCTGAATAAGTGATATAAGTTGCATTTTAAAGACGGTATGCCATGTTTTTACACCATCCACAGTATTAAGCATGAGTGTAAGAAATGGTAAGAGACTACACTTGATCTTGAATATCATTAAAACAGGAAAATCACCAAATTGCCAGGCATTTTTGAAAGAAGCTATTCCTTTACTTGAGGACAGACGCCTTAAAAAATATATAATTTGGAAACAGAAGAATTCAAGACTGTGTGAGTTTAGTGACAGAGGTCTAGTAATTCGTCACACTGACCAAACAAATTAACCACTTGCTCCCGGAAATTCAATCAACACTGGCCGGCTCAGGGAGGTCTTGTTGCAAATAAGATACAAAGATTTTGCCAAATTAGGAGGTTCTTGGCTTTTTAAAGGTCTTTCTATAAAAAGCTGAACCTGCAGTGTCTAGAGGGGGAAAGTGTTGGCAGAGGCAAACAGCAAAAAAAATCAGAGAGGGACAGCCAGGGGACCAGGGGTCATTATGCATCCCAGTTGTATTTTATTTATTTACCCTTTATAGGAGCTGACTTAAGAGCCCAGCACCTCCTTAAATGTTTGATTGATTCACTGTTTCCGGGAGGAAGAAATCCAGAGATAAAGCAGAATATATTCGAGCTCCCCCATCCAGAAAATAAGGTCCATTAGGCTCCCTGTCTCTCTCTCCCCGCTACATTCTTCTATGTCTCTCTCTCTCTCTTCCCTCTCTGTCTTTCTCTCTGTTTCTCTCTCTCTCATCTCTCATCTGCCTCGTCACGGCCTGACGACTCAAAAATAAAGCATAAAGAGAAATCGCAACAAAACGCCACCGGTTCTCTCTCTCTCTCTCTCTCTCTCTCTCTCTCTCTCTCTCTCTCTCTCTCTCTCTCCCTCTCTCTCTCTCTTCTGTCTTGAAAAAAGAAAAAAAGGGACTAGAAATTACTTTTGGCTGAAAACCTGTTTGGAAAGTTGCCCGCGAGAATACAGATGAAGCAAATTTCCTTGAGCAAACAGTGAATAGATCTGTGAGATGTGCCAGGCAGGCGTTTTGGACGCATAGTGTTATTTTTCCCATGAAAGGTGGAATAATTAATATTTTGTCGGCGATGTGTGACCCAGGGGATCTTGTTAATAAGCGGTTAGATTTATAAATAGTTATCTTATATGAAAAGAATCCTGTTGTCCAGAGATTCCCGTAAGAAAAGGTCTCATTTGATTAAAAATACATTTAAAAAAAGACTTGGTGGTTAAAATGTAATAAATAAACTCTACTTCAACCTTTAATTATTATTATATATTCAGTGGACAGTGGTCGGAATAAAGTTTGATTCAAATAAGATTTTTCATGTAGAAAACGTGGTTTTGGAAGTTAATTTTTTGCTGTTTATGTATTTTATTTTATTTTATTTAGGCTAACTCATGGGTAGATCAGCAAAGGTAGGACACAACCTCGCCTACTTAATATTCAGCATGCCACCATTACCATTACAATGCGTGATTATGAAATTCAGCTCATTATCATCACAATTACCTGTTATGGATTTTTAAAACATCTCTGCTATATATTTTTACTTATGAAAAACGGACATCAAAGTTAGCAAAGTTATAACCAACTGTATTTCAGGAACTAACCATATGAAATATTAAATTTTTCTTTTATTTCAACGTGGAAGATGAAATGGATATAAAGAATGGCATGTTCAACTCAACTAAAAAAATAAAGAAACCTTGTAGGTGATTTTTAACCAAAGGAATAAAAAAACTGTCAGTTTAAAGGGTGAACACACACACACAGACAAACACAAATTATGTGTGAAACACATAATATCATTTGTTTTATAATAGGTAGAAAACCTTATTCATGTTAACTTTAAAATCGGTATTACATCGCCCAAACACAAATATGCAAAGACTCCAAACGCTATGAGCTTTAGGGTATTTTCTGTGTTTAAGTGTTACACACACATAGGGCGGAGTCACACACACACACACACACACACACACACACACACACACACACACACACACACACACAGCGCACATCCACACACTCACCCAACAACATTTCCACGCGTCACAGTCGATTCATCCCAACCTCTCTCTCTCTCTACCTTTGACATTTTTTAGGTGTAATCGTTTTAAAGCGTCTCCGGGCTTTGACATATATAACTTTAGCTCCGCTGTTACCGTCAGCACCGCGGATCATTGGCTTTGGTGAAACGGCAGGGAAGAGGAAACATGATTCGTTCTAGTTTTTTGGATCTGTGTGTGTGTGCGTGTGTGTGTGTGCGTGTGCGTGCGTGTGTGTGTGTGTGTGTGTGTGTGTGTGTGTGTGTGTGTGTGTGTGTGTGTGTGTGTGTGTGCTCTTTTTTTTAATCCTGCAGGATAACGCACCGTGGGAACCTCTGTCAGCCACATAACACAGGTCCTCTCCGGCACTAAACTGCAATAAAATATATAATGCATAATCTATTACACGCTGAAAATGCCTGTAGGACGCTTTATTCAGCTTTTAAGTGGGCAGAGCCACCGAATATGGGCCTGTATTAAAATCATTTAAAATGCCATTCGTTATGCTTGTCGAAAGTACACGTAAAGTTCATAATTTAATTATTTCCCGTTATTTGACCTTCCATTACAGACAATTTTTGGAGTTGATTTTAACTGGAAATATATTAATTTCAGATATTAATTGTGGGGATGTAGTGAGCTGGGTTATAGGCATATTTAAGATAGGACCTACTGTTTTGTGATTTTCCTTTAAAGCTCAAAGACTGAAAGATTTTTTTAGGGGTAAATATAAGCATTGTTTTTATTCCAGTTCTTATTGTCATTAACACTCCTGCAGGCTGTGTGTGTGTGTGTGTGTGTGTGTGTGTGTGTGTGTGTGTGTGTGTGTGTGTGTGTGTGTGTAAAATAACTTCCATGTGAAGGGGAGGAAGCAAGTATTTGGGGAGGGAAAGTGGACTGAGAAAAACAAAGCAGTGCCCGCCATGTCACGAATGAGTGAACAAGTTGTGTCCCCCACTCATGTAGCGTGTCCCCAAGCACCTTGCACTACTGAAGTGTCCTTGAGCAAAACAGTGGTGCCTGCTGCACGCTGTGAGGTTGAACCGCTGTGACCTGCTGGGCACTGAAAGGAGAATTTCCCTGCGGGGGATCAACAGAGTCTCACAACAGAGTCTCACCTTGTTATTATTCTAAGACCTGGGCAGATCTGCGCTCGCACCTGTGTGTGTGTGTGTTTGTGTGTGTGTGTGTGTGTGTGTGTGTGTGTGTGTGTGTGTGTGTGTGTGTGTGTGTGTGTGTGTGTGTGTGTGTGTGTGGAGTGCAGTGTGTGTGTGTGTCTGTCTAACCTGGTTATGTGCAGAAACAATGTAACTGTTTGTGGATCAAGTTCAGCTTTTAGTCATGCTTTGTTACCCCGATCTCTCTCTCTCGCTCTCTCTCTCTCTCTCTCTCTCTCTCTCTCTCTCTCTCTCTCTCTCCCTCCTCGACCCCTGCACCTCCTCTTCCCTTCAAATAGGGAAACACAGCAAACCGCCTCACACAAGGCACCAGCAAATACAACAAAATGTTGGCCTGGTCTGCATTTCCCGGATTATAATGCATTTCACCATTTTTTTAAAAATCACATCAGCTCCATGTCTCGTGCCCAATTTAGTCAATGTACACCTGTTTGATATATATATATATATATATATATATATATATATATTGCTCTATAACACTGCAAGAAACAAGACACAACAATAAAGTGGAATGATAAATAGCAAATTCACAAACGAAGGATGATACTAATATAATAAAATAATATAATTTGGGCCTACATTTCTACATGTATCCAGATTTAAAACACTGCAAAAAATATCTGCCCCCGGAGAAGTCACTAAGTGGAAAAACCCACTCAGTTGAGCTATTTTTAAAAAGAAAAATGTGTGCATATGGAAAGAAGATAATTCATTCAAATTGTCAACTGTCAACCAAGTCTGTTTCGAGATTTTTTAAATAGGCTATATTAAAGGCAAATTAGTTCAATATCAAAACGTTATTTATTTACCATTCGCAAAGTACGAGTTCTTATATTATTTCAGCACTGTTGGAGACTTTCTGATGTCTTTTCATTACGAAAAACTGTAATAAATAATAATAACAGACTTCAGAACACACTAAGAAGGGATGTTTTTGCAGTGTACGGTGCTACTCCGCTGTTATTATTACATATGCACACAGAGTTGGTGATGTGGGGGGTCGTTTCAGTTCAGAGCAGATGGGATCATGCAGATGGAGGAAATTATAAACGTGTAAACTTACTGTGCATTGCAGCAAACGGGTCGTGCTTACAGTGAATCTCCATCGGTACGGTATAGGGCTGCAGGGCCCCGATACGATATGAGGAGTCTTAAAAAATGCCACAGGACGGCCCCCCCCCCCAACCCCGCTTCAGTCGGCCACTTTACTGACAGACTGTGACCTCCAATTAAAGGAAATAGGGGGTATCAGTTCCCTTCAAAGAGAGGATTTCTTTAAATTTATTTAAAGGGGGGATTTTATTACTTGTTAAGTCAACTTGTACTTTGACTCCAACTCATACAAAATATATTAAAAGTATAGTAATTGGGAGTTTTTTTTTAAGGTTGGAAGGGAAGAAAGAAATGGCGTCAAAAATATGAATCAGAGACGGGCTCCCTCCTCATGGGGACGGGACACCACACCGGGTCTGTTCTGGCGTCTCCAAAACCAGAGGAGGGAAACGACAGCAGTGGTGCTCATTCCTCCAGCTGCTCGTCTACACCGAGTCGCCTGAGTCCAAAGAAAACGGCTGAAAACTTTGGCAAAAAAATGATGGAGCGCAAACAAAGTAGCCTCTCCAACCCCCCCTTTTTTTTCTTTGCTTCTCGGTCCGCTGGCCGTGACCCCTGAACTGCGACTTCACCGATGCGCGGGGGGGAGGAGGGGGGGCTGAACTTTCTCCTTTCAGTCTGTTAAAATATTTCAAAATACAAAAATAAAACAAAAATAGCTCGAAAAAATAAAAAATAATCTTTACAGATCCACGGTTATTTTTTCTTCCAGGTTATTTGCTGCACATGTCTTCCTGTCACAAATCGTCCTCGGCGGTTGCTTTCACATTAACACTTGGTAATCTCCCATCAATAAAGCGAGTGAGAGCGCATGAGTGCTCACATCTTGAAGTCTCATATCCACCGTGCCAAAACAAAAAAACAACAACAACAAAAAAACAGAAAAGACGGAGAAAATACAGAAAACGATGCAGCAGGAAAAATAAAAACCAACACTCTCTGGTTCGAGTAAAAGCTGCTGATGCTGATGTTAAAGAGTTGTTATCCTGTTGGTGTGAACGAGAGGCAGCTCTTGGTCACTCTCTCTCCCTCTCTCCCCCTCTCTCCCGCTCTCTCTGTGTGTTGACCAGGACGCACTGCACAGACGTAATAGCTACTGGACTCCCGGTTTATGTGTGTGAGTTTGGAGGCTCATTTCTTCGCGCTGCACACAAACAAAAAAAAAAGAGGAAACAGTCCTGTCCAAAATTCAAAAAGGTAGTTTGTTTTCTCCGCGCTCGCGCCAGAATAACGCCTACAGTTTGGGTGTAAATATGTACATAAACAGGCTTCTTTAACTACACAGAGATACAAGCTGCCCGCGCCCAGCGTCCACGGTGGCGCACGCCGCGTTTCAGGACCTGTTCTCGTGCGGACAGCGCCCGCGCTCCCAACCCCCTGGAACCCTAACCTACACGCGCCGGCCAGCTGCCCGTCACTCAAATCGGATCCGACCAATCAGAACGCCAGCTCTGCCTCCGCGTCACCGCCAACCCCAGATAGAATCGGGCGGGGGAGCGCGCCGATTGGCCGGTGAGAATCCCGTGGGCCAATGACGCCCCGAATGTATTGTGCGTCCACCAATGGGGAGGCCCGGTGAAGCGACGCAGGGCTCCGGGAGTAGATGATCATATGTTTAATTTCAATTAACGAAGTAAAAAACTTAATGCCTTTATACCCATTTGCGCTCAATTTATTCATGTCAATATTAAATGGCTAATTAATTGAGTATTACTAAAAAATGAGGCTTAGTTGCAGCAAGGCTTTATAAATGAGGGAATGCTCAGGAACACAAATTGTCCACCTTCCAGGGAAAAACAGGTACAAAAAAAAAAATAAGAAAGAATACACAACCGGGGGGAAAAGGGCAGATTTTATAGGAAGCACAGCCTTTCAGGGCAACACGTGTAGGGTTAATATTTCCCTCAAAAAAAGCTTTAACCATCTTTGTAGGCCTGCAGGAGTGAAAGCTGTCAAATGTTATGGAAACAATTGGCCCTGTATAATTTCCCCTCCTTCAGCACAGTGTTATAAATCTTTAGCTTGGGGAGAACGGAGAGAGAAAACATATGAAACATGCATTCCCATTCATTACCTAATTGATTGAGGATCCAAACGGGTGTCGGTTTTTTTTTTTTCTTCTTTTTTTTAATGAAATGCAATTGGTGAGCTGCGCGTTTACTCTCCAAACTGAAAGAGAGAGGGATTCATTACATGTTCGTCCCACCTGATTTGAGAGGGCATATCTAAGCCTCGCCCCTGTAATATTAACCACACAAATAGCCTAAAGCATGAGCCAAATTAAAAAGTGTTATTTCCCTTCTTCCTGTTTGTAGACATTTAATCATTTCAGCTCCACGGTGTGCACGCATAACCCTTTAAGATTAGACACATTTAGAGCTATACAGGAGATACATAATCATGCTATTCTTACCAATATAAAAGTGTCATTAAGGACTCTACCTGTCATGTAATCACAGGGACACACTAATGAACCACAGCAACAATGACAATCTTCACCTTATTCCTCCTGGTTTTCAGGTGTATCCTCTAAAGTCTTACAGGCTTGATGTACCTCAAGGCAATGAATCTGATCCTGAAAAGGTCAATGTATGATATTATTGAGTTTATTTAATTTATCCGTTTTTATTTGTAGATTTCTTGCTTTCAAATATTGGTTTTTAGCCTCCTGTCAAGACGTGCGCGTACCCCTCCCAGTCCTGAGTGCGCTCACACAGTCTGACATCACCGATATCATTAAAACAAACACATTTCTTCTTATTTCAGTCATTGTTCTCTGTTAAAATCATGACAGAAAGTGTGAAGCTTGCGGGGGGGGGGTCTTAAGGTTTTGCTCTGCTCTCTCTGCGGAGGCTTCTTTTGGTTGGGCTGTTTACAAGATGAACCACGAGAGGGCGTTCAACCTTGAGCAATATGCCCGTACGCACACGCACATGCACTCACATATACATTCGCGCAAATACGAGACGTACAGGAACTTTACTATCAGCACACTTCAACTTAAGAGTCTCCCAAGCAGTCCAGTGGGGGCCTAAATTCACCCAAAATGTATCCAGGCCTTTGGAAGCATATTAATGCACAATATGGGATCACTGTATCTGTGGTTTAAACCCACTTTGTGCTCAACACTAAATATGGTTTCAGGAGTCTTCATTGATTCCACGTCCCTGCTCTTTAATCCACTGACAGCAAAGTACACCCTGAAACATTCACACTAATCCTCATTCATATTTCACATCTCTTTACTAAGTATTCATGAATTAGGGGCCTCACACAAATCTGACAGACAGCAAATCACATTGATTTTTGTTTTTTATCCAGAACAAATGACAAAAAAACAAAACCATAAAAAACAAATGGAGCAGAATACAGCTGAGGAACTGAAACATAGATGTTTAGACTTGGACCATGCAACCAAAAACCTGGGCCTGTAATCTAGGCCACATATGAACGAAAGGAGCTAAAGCAGGCGGATTTAGACAAAGACACTGCTGGGAGAAAATACTCTGCAAAGTGCAAAATTTTGGGACAATTTGCTGTTTTTATATGCATGTTACAATATACAGATTCTTCAATTTAACATTTATACATTATTCTTTCTTTATCCAGATAAATAAATAAATATTTTTGCATTGGCTCCTGAGGTCTCCAAACAAGGACTCCAAAGCAAAAAGCATAACGTTATCATTATTTTTGCCTATATTGTTTTTTGTTTTTTTGTTTTTTCGTTTTCATTGTTCTCATTCTCCTTCTGCAGCCAGAGTCTGTTTTTATATATTGAGATATAGACACGAGCGCTTTTCTCCCCACAGAAGTCAATTGCAGCCGTCGCCCTTGTCTCTCCGATTTGCAAATTAAATACATAAGCAATTAAAAAATCCAAACACAATCAATCATGTATACAAATTGTTGTCGCTTTAGGGTTGAAATTTTGGAGAAAACTTCCATCAGGGTAGGACGACTTTAATCCGGGGGTCCAAAATCCATTACCATATTTCATTACCTTGGAAATGGGAGGAAGGGAGGAGGGAGGGAGGAAGGGGGGTGGAGGAGGGTGTGTGTATACTTTTTTAAACATTAGTAAGAATGTGGTTGAGTTGTGATAATCATTTGGAGGCAAATTGGAGACAACGCTGTTGTTTAAGTGTTCCCTCTTTCCCCTCCTTCCCTTCCTTTCCCTTCCCTCCATCCACCATGAAAGCTTCGGCTGTTTTGCTTTTTGCGCCCGAGCCTCCAAACGAAAAAGCAATGAAAAATTAATAGCGCATGTTAACTCCACCAGCTCGTTTATTACACGCCCGCTGACTGTAAACATAATGAGAAAGCTCCCGTATCTCTTCTTAAGTTTTCATTTGCTTATAAAATATAAAAGTCATAACTAATAAATAAAATATATGGACTGGAGAGTGAACCGTCTTGGACTTCCCGAGGTGGAACTCGACTGTGTGCCGAGCAGGTAAATCACACTCACTGCTTCTCCTGCTAACAGGCCTGATCAAATGGACCTGTTTGTAATCATTTGGCTCGATGATAATGCAGGTAAAGACCAGTCTGTCATCTGTCCGATGGAGTACAAGGCCCTGCTGGCCATAAAGTCAAACCTGGTCCTGTGTTATGGGGCACTTGAGGTCAAAACGAAAGTAGGCTATGCCATGTGAGGTCATCTCTCTCTTTCTTTCTCCCCTCCCTCCCCTCTTACTCTCCTCATTCCTCCATCTCTCTCTGTCGCAGCTTTTTCTTCTTGATTTCCGCAACATCAGAAAGCTTATTTGGGCTATACTTTACACAGACTTCAATGTCTGTTTTTGTAAGCGTTTTGGTAACAACTTTTACATAAAAAATCCAATATTTCTAATGAAAAATATATATAATGTGTGTTTATAATGCAGTCAGGAAGTCTGATGCTAGGGTTTAGTATCAATAACCCGCAGGTACGCATACACTAAAAGGATTTGGTTCAGAGTGACACAGTACATGTGGACCAAAACCAAAACTGTGTCTCAAACTGAGAATCTGACCACACTTTAGCGTCAGGGAATCCAGTTTTGTGGGTTTTTTATTGTCACAATGGAGAGGGGGAAGGCTTTTATTAAAATCATAAGGGGGTCCGGGATCAAACATTTCTATAAGACCAGAATATAAGTGATCTGTGTCATTTTTTTCTTATTTTTGCCCCACCTGTAGTCAGACAGTGACTGAAATGGCGGCCTGCTTATTGGAAAGGACGGGCTTACGCACTTTTACGCACGGCCAACCTACAGGGGGGGAAAGAGCGGGTCTCATTAGACCCTTGTTCATTCTCACAGACTCTCCTTTGTACCCCAAGCACGTATTTTAAAGTGAGAGGAAATGGAGAGGCTGTAGGTATAGGCCCTGGGCCCTAAAGACTTTACACGCCAACAGGGGGAGGGCCTCCTTTAAACTCTGATTTCCTCAGTGGTTAAAAGGTTATTATCCAATTGCTACAAATCCCATTGCTTTCACTGTTTATCAGGGGTAAGGCCCACTCCACAAAAGAGTGCAAAGGGGGCATTATTTGTCTTACAGACCATAGGCATTCTTTGATGACAAATTTCCATAGAAGGCCGGGCACAAGCTAACGTATTTCTATTGTGAGACATCGTGTCGGGATCGGAACACACCTCCTAGTCACAGTATTGTGACAAAAATAGAGTCTGCACACCAATAAAATAGCTGTCTTAAACATCTACTGTGCATAGTATTAGTATCGGGCAACCAGGGGCATCATTAAGCCCATTTTTCTGGAGAAAAGCATTTCCACGAAACACAGCGCCCTTTCAGAGAGGATCACCTGTCCACCGTTTCTTAATGACAAACGACGTTTTATCAATGCAGACACAGCGGGCAGCAATATGAAATGATGTGATATCCATTGGGTGCCATAACAAGGTCGATGGCCTGATCCATTGCTGTACCAGACCCCGCTGTTTTATGAATAGGACTAGAGAAGATGAACCTGTTGAATAAACCGATGGATACACGCAGGAAGGAGTCAAGCAGAGACTCCTTTAGAGAGTTATTTTAGACTGAACCGGCCTGCAACTTCAACTTATGGGCCACAAAACACAAACAAGAAACTGAGAGCTTTCATTGCTTATCGCCTTAAAGGACCACAGTCCTCATAACACAAATAAAAAATGTAAAAAAAGTTGATAGAGCTGCACAAATTATATGAACAAATATGTGCATGCGCAATTGTGTATCCCTGCTCGTCTGTGCCACACACACACACACACACACACACACACACACACACACACACACAGACACACACCCACACACACACACACACACACACACACACACACACACACACACACACA